AATTATAATCTAGTACTATTCCTTCAAATTCTCAAAACACTTTGGAATGCCATTAATATTTCTCTGATAATTCTGACTTTATAGTTACTTATCTCTAGTTTCTGGCATGTCCAATTTGCTTTGCATTCTTTTGGAGCTCAGTTTTTGCATTTTAAATACCAAGGGTAAATAAAAATGGCAATTTTGAATACATCACACTTCTGGAATATTTCCACCCATGGGCACTTAAATATAGAAACTTTGATTCAGAGAACTCACACTGGAATTTTGCCTTATTATTCTAATAGCTCTTGGGGTTTAAGAATAAATCACATGAAGAGTTGGTAGTTTGGGAGGATGCCAATACATATCAATGGACAGCAGTGAAAGTATTTGTCTTTTTTCTTTCCTGCTCCTCTCTTTCCTTCTTCCCTTCAGCCCCTCCCTGAGACTGAACCCAAGAATCCACCGTGCAACATCTCCAGACCTCTTTAACACCTTTTTTTTTGGTCGGTCAGTTGTGGGGCTTGAACTCAGGACCCTGGCAAGCCACAGTGCCACTTCCGGTTTTCTTAAGATGAGAATCTCATGCACTTTCCTGCCTAGGCTAGCTTCGAACAGCGATCTTCAGGGCTCACCTTCCTGAGTAGTTAGAATTATAGACATGAGCTATCAGTGCAACATTTCATCTTTAATAAGGATTTGAGTCACGTTAACACACATCCACTGTTTAATTGCCTATCTTTGAAGAACAAATTGTGCTATATTAAAAAATATACAGGCTTCTTTTCTGTAGGTCAGTCCTGGGGCTTAAACTTAGGACCTGGGCTCTGTGCCTTAGCGTCTCTGTGCTCAATGCTAGTGCTTTACCACTTGAGCCACAGCACCACTTCCAGCCTTTTCTGTGTATGTGGTACTAAGGAATAGAACATAGGGCTTCATGCTTGCTAGGCAAGCACTCTACTACCAAGCCACATTCCCAGCCCTCTCAGGCTTCTTAAGCAGAGAGTACCGACCCAAATTCAGCCTCTCCTCGAAGACTCACATTATCTTCTTTGACCCTTGGTAGGATTCCATTCCTAGATGAATGAGTAACTGTTCACACCTCATACAATGCTGTTTCTCTGAGCAGAGGATGTCCACTTTGGTTTCTTACTCCAACAGCCCCACCACATGCCAGCACTTACAAACTGCAGCTTCAAGCTTAAGGAATTTCAATTAAGTTTCAAGTTTATGAAATTTCAATTAACACACTAGTATGTCTTATGAGGATATATTATAAAGGAGGTTCTGACCAACAAAGATAAAAAATAATATTAACAATATAACAGTTTTATGGGGACCTATTTTAAATAGACTATGCTTTTATTTAGCATTTAGCATCTATCATTTTTTTTCTCAGCCATAGTGTTTGAACTCTGGGCCTAGGCGCTGTCCCTCAGCTCTTCAGCTCAAGAAGAGCGCTCTACCGCTTGAGCCACAGTGCCATCTTTGGTTTTCTGGTGGTTAATTGGAGATATGAGTCTCACAGCTTTTCCTGCCCCAGGCTGGCTTTGAAGCCTGATCCTCAGATCTGAGTCTCCTGAGTAGCTAGAATTACAGGTGTGAGCCACTGATGCTGGTTCATCTATCATATTTTCATGTCATTAAAAAACAGTAACACAAAAAAAAAAAACCCAAAAACAGCAACACCTTAGAGAAAAAATAGGAGAGAACAATTAAAGGGGTGATATCAATCAAGAAGCATTGTACTTATAACCTGATTTCTGGAACTGAAATCCCTTGGTACAACTCATGCCTGTAGCCCTAGCTACTCAAGAGGCTAAGATCTGAGGGCTGCAGTTTGAAGTCAGTCCAGGTAGCAATCTGTGAGACTCATATCCAATTAATCACCAAAAAGTCAAAGTAGAGCTGTGGCTCAAGTGTAGAGAGCTAGTTTTGAGCAAAAAAGCTCAGGGACAGTGCCTAGACCCTAACACTTGTAATTTTTTAGAAATAAAAATGTAATAATCCTTTCAGTTAAAAGGTAACATTGACATTGTGGCTACCATGTTTTATATAACACATGCCTTCAGGTTCCAATTAAATCATTTTACAAAGTATCCTTATTCCTTTTGTCTTGCAATTTTATATTTCTTGACACTTATCAAAACAGAGATGGTATCAGCAAAAGACTAAAAGCTCTCTTTCATATGACCCTTAGAGGTCTTCCTTCCTTATTGCTTTAATTACATAGGACTAGTACATGCCTACGTGTCTTCTCTGACTATATTAGGCTGAGAGATGCTCAGACTAACAATTCTATGGAAGGACTGTTTCATATTCAATTAACACTACTCATTTTAGTCTACAGATGAAAAAAAATCTGATTTAAATATGTACACACACACACACACACACACACACACACACGTGAGAGAAGGAATGAATGAATATGAACAGAGGAAAGGCCAGAGTCAAATGAGGAAAAACAGTTATGGTTTATATTCAATTTATATTTAAAAAATTATGGCTTATTTACAGATCATATAATAATTAGGAAGATCTATTATTTATGAAAAAAAAGTATAATTTAAGCCATTTTCTCCAGGTAAATATTTGAGAACACAGCACTCCATAACAAGGTGAAATGGCAGAAGTAGTAAGTGTAAAATCAATTGCAATAAAATGCTATCTGTTGTTCAGAATGTTATAGTTTGGAAATTCAACTGGGGAATACATTATAAAACTTATTTTGATTCATCTTTTGGGAGGAAAGATGAAAGAAAAACTAGTGTTTGTATATTAAAGACATCAGAAGTAAAACTTCAGCAATTATCTGTTGTTGAGAAATGCCATTCTTTCCTTATCAACCTTTTTGGGTTTTGAATAGTACTTTAAGGTTCTCCAATAAAGTATTTTCTAGGAGAATTAGCTACCAAGAAAGAGCTGTGGGTTTTTTTTAACCTGAAGAAAGACAGAACGTACATACTGCTTTACAACTGTTGGCTATGAGGCTTGCAGTCTTCTTGAAGGTCTTCTCAAGGTAGTGAGCGAATCTCTCATTCTCATTTTCTTTTGACCCTAGCTGAAGAAATTCACCTATAAAGAAGAAAAGGGTCACTTGAAATATAGCTTTACTCCTGGTTTAAATAAATACCAAGATTGAATTAAAAAAGAAATCAAAATTAACCTACCACGGACCAAATCTTCTATAACTTCAGTTAAAATAGATAAAACTGTTGTGTTTCCAATCCTTGCCAAAGCTACAGATGCTGCAGAAAGAATCAAATCTCCAGCAAGAACAGCCTAAAGGAAGGAATAAACTAAAGATTAAAAAACAAACAATCAAAAAAATAGAGCAATGGAGCCAACAATGAAGCAGACTTGTCAGACTACAGAACAGGAAGAAGAGTCATCTTGTAAATCCCCCCAACCTTTCCTTTTCCCAGCACTATTACATAACAATCACAGATCCAGCCATTGTTTGACCTGGACTAACTCACAAGATTATCTTGTTATATGCCAGTTTATGTATGTAGAAGTACTGCAGCTTACTCTCTAGCTTCAGCCCTCAACATGCCTACATGTCTAGCTGCATTAGACCATATCACCATACCCTTCCACTTACTGTTCCTTCTGCTCAAAAAGTCCTTGGATGGGGATGGGGTTCCATCCCATCATGGTCAAAGGAAGAAGAAAGTCCTTCTCTCTCTTCATTTAATAGAGCCGATCTGCATAATTAGCTTACCATTCCAGAAACATTTCCGATCTGGCAGTCTAATTAGATTGCTCATTTCTGGGCAAGCACTACACCTGAGTACACTGAGGCCATCCACTGCACTGTGGATATAATCTGTGAGGTCCTGTTTACCATATTCCTGGTGGGCATGAACTAGCTAGAATGTATAACACTCCAGAGCATAACACACTATTATTTTCCAGTGAGGATACACTAAGAAAACTATGTTCCAAGTTCAATGTTCTTTGCACTATTTCATATTTTCATTCCTAGACCCCCTTGCTCCAAATTTTTTTTCAGTGTTACAAGGCTAACCTAGAGCTTTTCCCCATACTTTACACCTTCAACCACAGAGCTCCATCTCCAGCCCAATAAATATTATCCTCATTATTAGGCGAGCAATACTTCCCAATCTTCTTCAGAGGGTGAGATATCTACCATCTATTAAACAAATAATTATAAATCAATTCATAATGGAACTATATACTATAATTAGACATACTATCTACACATCCACATTAATTGCCACAATAAAAGATGTGCATTAAATGTTATAAGTATTTTTACAGCAGTTGTAAATTTTGGTTGTTTTAATATATTTTCAACATAACTGTATTAGGTATTGCCTTTCTCCAGCATCTATCACATTGATGTTCAGTGTCTCAATGAATCACCATTTTAGAATATATGTATTATATAAACCATCTCATATAACTATATACATTCAATTCATAGACTATGATCTATATATTTACACACTTGTGTCCACCTATCTACTCTCTACACCATTAGCAGCTCAGAGCCTGAGATCCTTTGAGCCTTTATCGCTCTTTTCTCCTAGACCATGAATCCTAGAGGCCAAAAATACTTCCAGCACATGGAACTGAAGCAACAAGCTTCTGGAGGACTAGTGGTAAGGAGGGAAAGAGGAGCTGGGAACCCCGCCAGTGGGAACCAAGGCTCACAGTGGAGGCACTAAATCAAAATTTGGAGTGGTAATGTAGTGGTTGTGCATGAGGGGCAGAAAAGGGAGGGGACTGGCAGGGAGATTTGTGTTGGGCATCTTTCTCAAAGCTGAAGATAGGTGCAGGTAACTGTGGCAAGCATCTCCCTAAACCCGTACTCAGAACTCTGCTTCTGCTTCTTTCAGCAGAGGCAGACACATAGGCATTTGTCAAGGATAAGATCATAATTGGTTTTCTAAGTCTTCCTCTCTTGGTCCTGCCTGAACACAGTCACAGATTAAGTTATCCATGGCCTCTCCCAAATTAAATTCTATCCTCCTGTTATCATCATTCATATATATGTGTGTGTATAACATATATATGTAGACATATACATTATAGTATGTATAGAAAATTCGGTCTCTAAGACATAAAGCCTTTCAACTTAAAAATCGAAATGAAATGGATGGATTCTAATTCACATCAGTCATTCTCATTGAAGCAAAACCAGCATGTGAAAATAAGGACAATCAAAAGAGAGAACTGGATAAAATACCTGTGTGAACGGGGAGAAGGTGAGTTACTTTTGCATAAACTTTTGTTTGTCCTACTACGCAAGACTGGTAATGGAGGCAAATGGTGTGGATGAGTGCCCGTTCTCAGAAGGCCTATGCATCTCCGTTTTCATTTGTTCAATCTGAACCTTGTTATTCAATTTATAATTTATACATCCTCAAAAAAGTCTCTATTTTACACGTTCTTGGAATGCTAATTAAAAATATGGAAGTATGCTTTAAATATATATACAGGAACCAAAACTTACTATAGCTGTCTCTACTTAAAAATAAAATTTTCATAGAAGAGTATTCAAGTAATCCTCTAAGATTTTCCTTTTTATCTTTTAATTTTATTTATTTGCCTAACACTCTTGTACACACAATGAATCAACAGTTATGTAATATAATTATACAATTTTAATATGAACCCAAAAGTAAAATGTACGATTCCTCATGAAATATACTTGTTTAGATCCACATTAAAGTCCTTTTCTTGTAAGCAAAAGAATTCAGAAAGACTAATAAATTTATTATTCTATAGTACCTTATACTGTCTATCAAAGATATAAATACTGAAGTGACATAAATTCTTTGGCATTTAGAAGACCACAGTTGAGTAAGAATGTTTCATTCAATGATACAAATCTGAAAAGTAAATGTGATCCCTAAAGCATGTGATTTGGCAAAGATCTGTTAAAAACTAAAAGAAACTCCATACCTTTTTTTCTCCCCAGATGTTATTAACTGTATGTTTTCCTCTTCGAGATCTTGCATTGTCAATAACGTCGTCGTGAACCAGACTAGCAGTGTGGATCATTTCTGTAATTAAGGCTATGGAGCGCTGGTTGGCTTGCATATCTCTAATTAACAGAAAGCAATGCTTTTTAACAGAGACGCCGCCTAGAACCTTCTCAGCAATCATCTTGTGAAAACTGGACATCGGATCTAGGACAAAGAATTTTATTTCTCTAAGAGAAACTGTATTAAAAACATTGGCTTCCTTTCAGTGCCATTTCTACCCTTTGGAGAACACTGTAAAAATGCACAAGACCCTGCCAAGACTCTACTTCTACTGGACATTAGGAAGTAGAAGCTCAGTTACAAAACAAAACAAAACAAAACAGTATACATTGCAGGAGTCTGGCCATTGGGTTAAAGAAACTTTATGCCCTATGAATACTATCTCCTAGTGTTTGGAGCATGTTGGGCTGGGGTCTGAGTTTATAATTAGGTTACAATTAAATTTCTGGGTTGTATAGGAAAAGACAGGTATAAAATGTTTTACCGAGGAGTGAAGAAGATGGATCATACATGCTTAAACATGTATGATTACAGCATAATGAAACCCACAGAACACTGAAAAACTGAGGAGGGCAGAAAGCAATGGGAATAAAGTGGAAGAAGGTGAATTTATTCAAAGTGCACTATGTACATGTATCGAAATAGCACAATGAAACTCCCTCATATTACAAATACATGTTAACTCAAAAAACAAAGGACCAACGGCCACTATGCTCAAGTCTTTTACTCTATCTTAAAATGAATGTTGAGTATGACATCAATAACCAAGACAGTGTAAATATTCTTCCAAGTCATACGTAACCTTACATTGGAAATCTTAACTTATTTTTTTTTGGGTCCAGTCGTGGGGCCAGAACTCTGGGCCTGGGCGCTGTCCCTCAGCTCTTCAGCTCAAGGCTAGCACTCTATCACTTGAGCCACAACGCCACTTCTGGCTTTTTTCTTTTGCTTATATGGTGCTGAGGAATCGAACCCAGGGCCTCTGGCATGCAAGGCAAGCACCCTATCACTGAGCCACCTTCCCAGCCCCGGAAATCTTAACTTTTATTTCCAGATTTAACACAAATTGTAGAACAAGCACTTTCAAAATAATACACTGATGTGAGTTTTACAGTTAAAAGGAAATGCTCTCACTTGTTTTTGAGACAGGATCTTGCTTTCTAGGCTCAAATGCCTGGGCCTAAACAACTCTTTTCCCTTAACCCCTCAAGTAGGTGGGACTATAACCTTTTGCATTGCACCCAACTCCCAATTCTTTCTTCCTTCCCCCTTCCTTCCCTCCTTCCTTCCTTTCCTTTCCTTTCCCTTCCTTCCTTCCTTCCTTCCTTCCTTCCTTTCTGTGGCTGGTCCTGGGGCTTGAACTCAAGGTCTGGGTGCTGTCTCTGAGCTTTTGTGCTCAAGGCTAGTGCTTTACTGCTTGAGCCAAAGCTCCATTTCTGGCTTTATTGGGCTGGGGGTATGATTCATTGGAGGTAAGCATTTCCTGCCCAGGCTGGTTTGGAACTGCAGTCCTCAGTAGCTAGAATTATAGGTGTGTGTTTCTGGCACCTGGCTTCCAGTTTCTTTCTTAATCAGAGTCATTATCACTATCACCATCTACTGGAATTAAAAAAAAAACAAAACTGAATTTCAATAAAACATGACTAGAGAAATAGCCTAAAACTAAAACCAACATCATCAAATACTTCAAGGCTTACTTTTAATTCCTTCAGGTTGTATTCTTAAGAGGGGAAGAAATAGAGAGTCCCAGTTAAATGACTTTTTTTTTCCTTAAAAAAAAAAAATCCAATCTGGCCAGGTACTGGTGGCTCACATCTATAATCCTACTCAGTAGACTGAGTCTGAGGATCATGGTTTGAAGCCAGCCCAGGCAGGAATGTCTTATCTTATCTCAACTAAACTACCAAAAAAGATGGAAGTAGAGCTTTGGCTCAAGTGGTAGAACGCTAGCCCTAAGTTATAAAAGCTCAGGGTCAGAGCCTAAGCCCTAGGACCCACTCCAAAAAACCCCCAAAACAAAACAAAAAACTCACAAAAACAAATCTGAACATCTGCACTCTAATTCCCCAGACCCAGAAGATAATAAAAATAAAGAAAACTATATAGTAGGTATAGGCATTTAACTACAGGTACTAAACCAGGATGTCAATATCTTTTGATCCTACTTTAAAAATAACTTAAGGAAAAATTTAAAAAAATTTAAAACATTATGCTCTGCTAGTGCTTTTTACCCAAGGTCTTAAAATAAACCAGAATGTTCTAATTGCTTTCCTAGGAATCAAATGGCTGCTCATTACTTGTTAATATTTTATAATTAACAGCAACAGTGTTTTGTTTGTTTTTGCCAGTCCTGGGCTTGAACTCAGGGCCTGGGCACTGTCCCTGAGCTTCTTTTGATCAAGGTTAGCACTCTACCACTTGAGCCACAGCCCCACTTCAGGCTTTTTCTGTTAATGTCGTACTGAGGAATCGAACCCAGGGGTTCATGCATGCTAGGCAAGCACTCTATCACTAAGCCATATTCCTAGCCCCAGTTTTTGTTTTTGTTTGTAGTGGTAGGGATTGAATCCCGGACCTGACACATGGTAGGTAAGTGCTTTAGTACTTGAGCCACACTCCTGGCCCAATGAAACAGGGCTGTGTGTGTGTTTGCCGATGGTGAAATAGAGCTTGAACTCAGAGCTCAGCTTTTACTCTCACAGCTGGCTTTCTACCACCTGTGCCACACCTCTGCTCCAATGTTTTGCATCTCTGACCAGCTACTTTGCAGATTAAATGGAGACAGTCTTAAGGACTTCTCTGCCCAGTCTGGCTTCAAATTGTGATTCTCAGATCTCAGCCTTCTGAGTAGGTAGGATTACAAGCCTGAGACATGCCACTAGTGACCAGCTCAATATAACAGCTCTTAACAGATCTACAATAGACTCTTTCCATGGAAAAAGAGGTAATGCAAAAGCAAAGGAATATAGGGAAAAATCACTACACCCAACTGCTTTAGTGATGTTGGCCATGTGCTCAGCATTAGTGTGTGGTTAGCAGGTGTCAGGCCCTGGGCTCAATCCCCAGCAACAAGACAAAACAGTAACAAACCACTTGAGGAAAGAGAAAACAGAAGTTCAGATGGCTTACAGGAACTTTCTCTGAAACCCTCAGTGAGATGTCAGGTAAATTTACTAGGCACCATTTTCTCTGAGCTGAATTCACCAGAAAAGATACTTTCACAACAGTTGATTTTTAAATATAAAGGCTATACTTAAGAGTATTTTGTGGGGCTGGGAAGGTGGCTCAGTGGTAGAGCGCTTGCCTTGCATGCATGAGGCCCTGGGTTCGATTCCTCAGCACCACATAAGCAAAAAGAAAAAAGCCGGAAGTGGTGCTGTGGCTCAAGTAGTAGAGTGCTAGCCTTAAGCTGAAGAGCTGAGGGACAGCGCCCAGGCCCAGAGTTCAGGCCCCATGACCAGACCCCCCCCACCCCCCAAAAAAAAGAGTATTTTGTGAACTGTATTTGTTGTTGCTGTCATTGTTGGTTGTAGGACTTGAATTCAGGGCATGAGCACTGTGCCTGAGCCTCTTTGTGCTCAAGGCTAGCATTCTACCACTTGAGCCACCGTGCTACTTCTGGTTGGTTAATTGGAGATAAGAATCTCCTGGGCACTATTCTGCCTAGATTTGCTCTGAACCACAATCCTCAGATTTCAACCTCCTGAGATTTTAACAGGCATGAGCCTATAGTGCCTGGCCACAAGTGGATTTTAGTGTAATAAAATACACACCTCTTACTAACTAGTAGTACAACCTTCCTTAAAACAACTGCCAAGGAGCTGGGAATGTAGGTTAGTGATAGAGCGCTTGCCTAGCATGCATGAAGCCATGGGTTCAATTCCTCAGTACCACATACACAGAAAAAGCCAGAAGTGGTACTGTGGCTCAAGCTGTAGAAAGCTAGCCTTGAGCAAAAGAAGCTCAGGGACAGTGCCCAGGCCCTGAGTTCAAGCCCCAGGACTGGCAAAAAAAAAAAAAACAAAAAACCAAGAAGCAAAACTGCCAAAGCCTCTGATTTTCTCATGCATTTCTAAGTTGGACACCAGCTCTAAAGTTACTAGTTATGTCAGTAGACAGGCTCGAGCAGGCTCATTTTATTTGAATTTATTAAAATGAAGACTTCTTAAAATATTTGAAGGTAGGCATGGTGCTTATAATCCTAACACTCAGGATACTGAAGTAGGGTCAAGAGTTTGAGGCGAGCCTGGGCTACATAGAGACATCCTATTGCAAAAAATACATATTTTTAAATTTCAGATTTATATGCATATAAAAATGCCATCATTGCTTGGTTTAATTACTGATGAAATCAGGATTCCTTCTTAGAATGCTATTTGGCACTGTGACATAGCTTCTACATTCAATACACATCATATTTCAGATGATTTATATTTTATGATGTTTTTTCCCCCTATAAAACTAGGTTTTAGCATGTATCAATTTATACTTTGTTATCTCTAACACAGTATCACAGTGGGATAGATGACCAAATTTACAGATTACAGAAAATGTTCACACTATTTAAGATGCTATCTTTAAAGTACCAAACTGAGTCATGACTCTAAGAAACTGGGCACCATGCCCACTTCCTGCTGTGAAATAGCTGCCATACCTTCCTGGTTCTTCTGAGAAGTGACAGGCAAGGAAGCACCGTCTCCCAGGAGAGGTGACAGGCAAGCAAGAAGCTATCTTGGTAGCTGGCTACGTCTTCTTTATACTGTGATTCAGAAATGACTTAAGGCACTTGCTCTCATTAGATTAAAAAATGTTTACAGTAATTTCTAACATAAAAACATATGAAATAGGCTGGGAATATGGCTTAGTGGTAGAATGTTTAATTCCTCAGTACTACATACACAGAAAAGGCTGGAAGTGGCGCTGCGGCTCAAGTGGTAGAGTGCTAGCCTTGAGCAAAAGAAACTCAGGGACAGTGCCCAGGCCTTGAGTTCAAGCCCCAGGACTGTCAAAAAAAAAAAAAGATGAAATATAACACAAACCCTTCATCTAGCTTACATGT